TTCCAGTTAATTAAGTGTAGAAGAGATAATTGGATTAGAAAAAACCACAGTTTTGCAGGCCCTAATGAGATAATGGTTCTAAGCAATATCACCAGTGGCTGCTAAAAGCAGTAGGTGAAAAGCTGATGGTGAACTTTCTAATGGACAGATCAGCCTGACGACCCCTAAACCGACTCACCAATCTTAATAAATCTCAAAATGAGATGATAAAGCAAATAAGTAGTTAATGTTATAAACTTGGATTTTCCTGTTCCCCTGAAGAGATGAATAAACAACACCACCTATGAAGAATTATTTTAAAGAAATCAAGTCTGAATCTATTATAATCAAGCCTCTAGATCTAACTATCAATTTGTAAGAAATACAGGCGAGGGACAGAAAAACAGGTGAAACTCTAAGGATGCAGTCATTAAAATCCTGAATGTGGGCCAAGCGCGGTGGCTCACACCTGTAATCCTAGCACTCTGGGAGGCTGAGGCGGTCGGGTAGCTGGAGGTCAGGAGTTCAAAACCAGCCTGAGCAAGAGTGAGACCCCTGTCTCTACTATAAATAGAAAGAAATTAATTGGCCAACTAATATGTATAGAAAAAATTAGCCGGGCATGGTGGCACATGCCTGTAGTCCCAGCTACTCGGGAGGCTGAGGCAGCAGGATTGCTTGAGCCCAGGAGTTTGAGGTTGCTGTGAGCTAGGCTAACACCATGGCACTCACTCTAGCCTGGGCAACAAAGTGAGATTGTGTCTCAAAAAAAAGAATAAAATAAAATAAAAAAATAAAATATGGCTACTGGAAAATCTTAAGTTACACATATGGTTTGCATTATACTCCTCTTGAACAGTGCTGGATTCAAGGAAAGGGGCAAATGAAAGGTAGGGATCAAGTTACTTATGGCAACAGAATGGCAGTGAAAGTACATTAACAGAACTAAGGAAAGTGGAGAAGGGGAACTGTTTAAGAGAAATGAAGACAAACTTGTTTCTAGAAGACAGATGCTGTTCCAAATAGGTTTATTTGGGGGTGAAAAAATACTAGTCACTGAGTTAAGAACCACATCTTCATACCTTCAGTATAACAGAGTTGCAAGTGATTTTACACCCAGAGATGAAATTTCTCAAAGTGTGGTCTGAGGGAATAAGTTTTGTGATAAAAGAGTCAATTATGTTTGGAAGATAGCAACATATTCCAGCCATTCCTTGGAGATCCACCATGCCATTCAGCATATTAAAAGCTTCAAGAAGTTGCACTTTACTTTTATTTCTCAAACTTATTTGAGCAGAGATTGCTCTTCAGAGTAACAACTATTTAAGTTGCTAGACTATGAGTGGTTATTGAGAAATTAATAGTATCCAAATCAGGGATATTTAGTCAAAGATAAACCTTGAACTTGAAAATGAATGGAAATTTTTTAATCCTTTCTGTACTTGGGAAGGGACAGGATCTTCCATGTCTAGGAACTCTGAGCTGTTCTAAACTCATTGTATCTCATCTTGAACTTAACTTTTCTATTCTCCTGAGACAAGTTGAAGACTTATTTGTGAAAGCACTCAATGCTTTCACATTGCCTGTGAATTCTTGTGAGCCCATCAGAATGCCATATGCTAGCTATATTGTGTGTGTGTGTATGTGTACATATAACACACCTCTACTCCTATTCACTAGAGGACTCTGGGGAGGGGCCCGGGCCTTGGAAAAGTGTCTTGGAGCTTAAGAACTTCGTGTTCCTTTGTCCTTTGAGAGAGACAGTAAGTAGTTAAGGTTTTACCAAGTACCTCACAATATTACAATCTGGAAAAAAGGCCTTGTGCTTGAAAAATGCCTGACCTACACACTCCTCATGTCTTGGCACTGATGGAGCCTAATGAAAGGAGAAAGAACTTGGCCTGTAAAGCTCTGTGGCCTGGCAAATGGGGGACCAGCCCTATTCAATGTGAGTTGGTACTGCACACAGACATGAATACCAGGAGGAAGAGAATCAATGGAGACTGTCTTGGATTCCACAGTCCTCTGGCCCCCAATGATTCACATCATCATCTGTTCCTTCTCTCTAAGAGCCAGGAGAGGGGACCCTCTCTGAGTTTCCATTGAGTTTTCTTGTAGAGCATCATTATTTCCAAGAAATAACTCTAATATTTCTCCCTATTTACCAGGGAGCCATTTTTATCAGTTAAGCCATTGTTTAACTAAAGGGATTAAAGGAACCATGGAGGGCTATTCTCCTCCACAGGGAGAACTAGCCTCTGTGGAGATTTTCTATACTACCTAAATAAACCTCACTTTTCACTTTATACTCTTGGCTCACTCCTGAATTCTTTCTTGCATGAAGCCAAGGACCCAGTTGGACTTCAAGTGATTCCCAACATTGGAAATTACTTTTCTGTGACAATATGACTTCTCATCAGTATTTATTATTGTTTAAGTGAAAGTTTTGGGGTTTTGCCTAGCAATAGGCAACTAATAAGGTAGATGAGTATTTATATGATGTTCTGGCACTGAAATGACTTTAGATTTGCATGCTATTCTTTCAGAATGTGGCTAGTTCCTCTGAAGCACTATGATTACCATGTACTCTGTACTTTTTATTCTGGTGTTTATATCAGAAAATTGAGAAGACTGATAACTTAATAAGCTTTCCCTATAAAATGAACTATTATAATAACCATGGAGAAAGGAAACTTCTTAATTGAAGAAAGTAAGAAACTTCTTACTTTGATTTCACTTTTTGAAGAAAAAAAATTCTAAGCTTAATCATGGATTTACCTTACTTTGCTCCAAGGCCAATTTTCAATTTCTTTTTTAAAAAAATAAATGTTTTAAGTATAACACAGAAAAGTACGCAAATCCTAAGTGAACACTTTACAAAGTGAACACACCCATGTAACCACCACCCAGATCAAAGAAACAAAACATTAATAACCTCCTAGAAGCCTATCTGGTCTCTTCTCAACATTCTCTCTCCCTTTCTGAAAAGTAACCACCATCCTCACTTCTCACATCCTCTATTAATGTTGAACTTATTATAAACAGAATTATACACCCTGTAGTCTTTTTTGTCTGGTTTCTTTTGCTCAGTTTACTTGCATTGTTTTTTTTTTTTGAGACAGAGTCTCGCTTTTTGTTGCCCAGGCTAGAGTGAGTGCCATGGTGTCAGCCTAGCTCACAGCAACCTCAAACTCCTGGGCTCAAGCAATCCTTCTGCCTCAGCCTCCCGAGTAGCTGGGACTACAGGCATGTGCCACCATGCCCGGCTAATTTTTTCTATATATATATATATTAGTTGGCCAATTAATTTCTTTCTATTTATAGTAGAGACAGGGGTCTCACTCTTGCTCAGGCTGGTTTCCAACTCCTGACCTCGAGCAATCTGCCCGCCTCAGCCTCCCAGAGTGCTAGGATTACAGGTGTGTGCCACCACGCCCGGCCTTACTTGCATTTTTTATTTAGGATTATAAACATCCTACCTAGTTGCCATTAGTATATATTATAGATAAACGTTATTGTTATTATAAACTTTAATGATAGCCATAGACTGTCAGCAAATTCACAAATATACTAAAGACTTGTGTATTTAGGCAGAGAAAAAGGCCTTCCAGGAATTTCGCTAAATCTGTGCCTTCTTTTATCATAAGGCAGAGAGTAGCTGAACTTCTTAGGAGTCCAGGCTCTGTCATTTTTTAATCTGTGTGCTTCTGGATAAGCTGCCTCATCACTCAAATGTTGCTATAGGGATTAAGATGTAAAGATACTAGGTAAACTGTAAAAACACTACATGTTTCAGGTGTTGTTATGATGCTGGGGTTCATCTTGGCAGTCCAGAGATGATAAGTCTTTGATTCTTCAGGATGATCTATCAGAGCTCACAGATTTGAATGGAAGTTTCCTCAGGTTAAGGAGGACCAGATTTTTTTTTTTTTTTTTTTTGGAGGAGGCAGAAAGGTAGGCAATGTCTGGTACTGAGATTTAGAAGAGTAGGTATAGATGTTCTTGGTTCCTTTAGAATCCACTTGAGGTGGCTTCCTGCAGTAGCTGGAATTTCCAAAGTTAGGAAATGGGGTTTCCAGAGTTATTCTTACAGCAAGGAAAGCTACTTTGGAGTGAGCATGGGAATTCTATTCAGCAGGCATAAGAGAATCTCAACCTTCTTGTTCAGTCTGTTATAACCAGTCATTACAGGAGAGGTGAAGAAAATAAGCAATGTTGTCCAAGGGACATTATAGTCTCCCAGGGGAGGCACTTGCGAAATAATTAGCTCACAGTCCAGATAAACTTGACAGCGGAGTGAGGGAGTGCCTTGGGGGACAGCGCAGGGCAGGATCATTCCAAGCTTTAGCAGACTCTGGTAGGAGGGATACTTCGAAGGGCCTTTGGTAGGTGTGAGAAGTGAGAGTCTCAGGGAGGGAGGTGACCATTTTCTCTCCCCAAAAGAGATGGGAAGATGATTTAAAAAAAAAAAATTAAAAAAATCCAGGTTCCAAGGCGGCCACCAAATCTTTCTATACACCACGCAGAAAGGGGTTCCAGACTCCTTCAAAATCCTACTTCCGGGGTCCCACACCCCCTCCTTCACTACTGGAGGGTGGCGAAGGATTTATAACCCACCTCTTTCTGCCAGTTGCCATGGAGACCAACCCCAGTCCTTTCATTCCTTCTGATACCCAGAGCATCGCTCCAATGCAGGCGAAGTGGAGGCTGCAAACGTGTTGGGGGAGGGGCTGGCGGCCTCACAGCAGCTGCGGAACCAGGCAGAGGGACAAAGGCTAAGGTCAGCCGCGGTTCAAGCCCTTCTGTCTGCCAACGACTGGCGGCCAGACGCTGCGGGAGCATCGCTGGGCTGGTAGAGGACGAGAGCCGGGAGAGACGGCACGGAGTAACGCACTGGGACTCGGGAGCACGTGACGGCGTCCCGGGAGAGTTCCGGGGCCCGTGGGCGCAGACTGGTCCACCCATGAGGCTGGTGGAGAGGGAGAAGGGGGCGCGGGACCCTCCACCCACGCGTCCATTGGGCGGCGCCGCCATCACTCTCTCCTCGGCTACACCGTCTTCTCCTCCTCCACGGAGCCCCGATCCCCACCTCCACTACTCTCCGCCCCGCCCTGTCCTGGAAGCATTTCATTGGACGGAGGCACGGTCGATCCGCCTCGGATCAGGGAGCTGATTGGACTTGAGGCGTCGGTCCGCCTCCATCCTGTTCGGATTGGCTCGCTGCGCGTTGGCGCAACGGAAGAGGCAGCTGGGCGAGGGTGCGCCTCTGCTCCGGCTGGACTGCCGCGGAGGAGGCGAGGAGGCGTCCGGCGCTGGGGGCCTGGGTCGGGCGGCAGCGGTGGCTGCTGCGGATGGGAGCGGGCCGTTTCGGTGCGCCCATGGAGCGCCACGGCAGGGCCTCCGCCACCTCCGCCTCGTCAGCCGGGGACCCGGCACCCGGGGGCCCCGAAGGGCGGCGGCGGGAGCCAATGCGGCGCCGGGCGAGCAGCGCGTCGGCGCCCGCTGTTGAGGCCTCGGCGGAAGGCGTGAGGCGGGACCGGCCTGGCTCCTACAGCGGCCCCACTTCGGTCTCCCGCCAGCGCGTCGAAAGCCTCAGGAAAAAGCGGCCGCGTAAGTGCCCCGTGGGGCGCCCTCTCGGCCCGCCCTGCCCCGCCCTGCCCCCTTCCGGCCTGGCCACCGTTTTTCCCGCGCGCAGACAGTGCCCTCGCACGGTGGTCCCACGTAGGTGCGTGGCCTGGCACCCGGCTGGAGGCCTCGGGTCCCCCAACGCGGCTCGGCTCCTTCTGGGTTCGGCCCTCGCGCCCGTTGGTCTGCCCTTTGCGTTTGTTGGAGCGGAGGGCCTTTATCCAGGACCCCCTCCTCCCTCTTCTTAGTTCCTTGGACATTCTTTCCCGAAAGTCACATGATTTTATCCTCGAGAAGGCTTCTTTTGAGTCATTTCCACCGCCTCGTCTCTCTTCCCCTCCCCCCAAACCCTTTGAATCCCCAATGGTTCTCTTCCATGGGTTTCCAAAGAGCTGCTCTCCAAGACTTTAAGTCCTTTTTATCTAGCGTTTTCAGGCCTTCTGGAAAATGCCTAACCGCCCCGAGTTGGTCCAGGTCTAAAACTGGATTCCGTGTTCTGTGCACCTCTAAGCTTTGGCTGCTTTTCTTTCCATGAGAATTGAGGTCATCTCTCACCCAGATATCCCCCGATTTCCTTCCGTTTATTTGCAGGTACTCACGATTCAGAACGTAGCATTCTGGGCATAAAGGCTCGCTCTTTTGAGGGAAAATGACATCTTCCTGAATTTTGCCTTGGGAGTTGCATTCGGTCTTCCCAGAAAATCGGTTTCTCCATTTTATTATCACTTTTCTTTTTCTGCATCGTGTATTTTCTCCCTTCCTCAGGTCTTCAATTCTGGACCGCTGTCTTGCAGCTATGCTGAGTGACAATTGAAAGTATCAGTTATCCTGATAACTGTAACATGAGCTTTACAATGTAGTAGCATTTTACATATGGTTAGACTTTTTGGTGGTTGTTGCCAGACTCCTATTTCAGGAAATTGACTTGTTTAAATTCAGAATGTGAGAATAAGGGAAAATGGCAGGATGTGTGGTGAGGTCTTTATTGGATAGTCTTGTACCTTAGCTAAACCACCCAGCTGCTTTTCTTTTATCTTTTGTGATTTGGATGATTAAATGTAGCTCTATTTTGCTGTAAAAAGTTTGGGAGTTTTTGATTCTTTTGTTTTCTCCCATATTGCAAGAGATTTGAAAAACATATTCCCAACCTGTGCTGTTTTCAGAGTCAGTTACCTGGTTTGATTTGAAAAGCACCTGAATTTTAAGCAATGCAAAATATTAGTTTCTTTATGGTTTTGTACTACATCATTGGAGATGGATATAAATTCCAGAGATTCAGCAAATAAAAATCAACAACCATTAGCCATGGGATTTTAACTATTGTGTTTTGAGTGTTTGCATGGGTCAGGCACTCTTGAAAGCTTTAATAATTCATTAACCCTCACAGCTCTGAGGTAGGTGGTAGTATGCCATTTTATAGATAGGAAAACTGAGGCGTCTTTGTCTAGTGTGAAATGGCCAGTGCATGGTGGGATAGAAATATAAACTCAGGAATTCTAGCTTCATAGCTTCTGCTCTTAACCACTGTGCTTTACTGAATTGTTTGTTATTTTAGTTGTTTTTTCATTGCTTTAAGACCAAGCATAAGTATGATCTTTTGTGTTCTCACTTGAGGTGACAATTTTTAGCTACTGTGGAAGTACTTCCATATATTGATCATAAAATTGACCTGGGGAGTTACAAATAAAAATGCAGAGGGGGACCCAGTTGTCTGTTTTTGGAATCAGAATCTGGAGAGGGGTCTAAGAAGCTACATTTTTAACAAGCTCCTCATAGCATTCAGATATAGGTGACTCAAAGGCCACTCTGAAAAACTGATTTAGACTATTTGGGGAGGAGGTTATGCTAAGGTGGTTTCAAAACTTCTTTTAAGGAACTTAGTAGACAGATATTCATGTTATAGGATTTATTTTTTGTTTTGGTGTCTGATGTTTGTTGGTATCCCCTTCATTGTTTTCTCTGACTCAGTTATCATGAAAAGTAATCTCTCAGGTAAGGAGACCTGCTAAAGAAATAAAGTAAGATCCTCATTGTTCTTCCTCCCTTGATTTTTCTGTACTATCCAGGGTGCACCTGTTAGATAGAGAGGCAGCTTGTTGATTGCTGAACCCTCCAAGAAAATACTTTAGTCTTTAACTCTGAGAGAATTCAATGAAAACTAAATCTGTATTTAATGTTGGGAGGGTTGGGTATGGAATGGTGCCATCTTTCATTTGAGGTTAGAAAACCTTGTTCTGGGCCAGGTGCGGTGGCTCACGCTTGTAGTCCTAGCATTCTGGGATGCTGAGGTGGGGGGATGCTGAGGTGGGAGGATCGCTCAAGGTCAGGAGTTCAAGACTAGCCTGAGCAAGAGTGAGAACCCCATCTCTACTAGAAATAGAAAGAAATGACCTGGACAACTAAAAATATATAGAAAAAAAAATTAGCCGGGCATGGTGGTGCATACCTATAATTATAGCTACTTGGGAGGCTGAGGCAGAAGGATTGCTTGAGTCCAGGAGTTTGAGGTTGCTGTGAGCTAGCTTGATGCCACAGCACTCCAGCCCAGGCAACAGAGCAACCCTCTGTCTCAAAAATAAAAAAAGAAAGAAAGAAAACCTTGTTCTGATGTCATTATGCTAGTCTAAAGGTAGAGACTAACTAGTTGTTATTTGGAACTTAATGGAGCTATTCAGGTTATCTTAGGAATTCTTATGGCCCTGTTATATCATGTTCTGCTACATATGTTCACTAGAGCAATGTGGTTTCCAAACCTGTCCTCCTCTCAGTCTTACTGCATCAGAATCACTAAGTATGAGGCTAGGCATGTGTATATGTAAGAAGTTCTTCAAACGTTTTGAGTCAGGTGGTGGTGGAGTATGTCTCACAGGGCTAAGAAATACCAAATAAAGATTGTTTTAAAATGATGGAAACAAAGATGCTAATGATGGTAATGTAGCTACCACTTTGTGAGTGTTTACATGTTTGTGTTATATGCTATGCCAATTATTTTATAAACATCTCATTTAAGTCTCAGTTATCCTGTGAGGTAGGTATTTTTATCCCCAAATTCCAGATGAGGAAACAAGCTCAGTGAAGTTGGCCCTTTGTTCAAGGCCATATAGTGAGATAGTGATGGAGTTGGGTTTTGATTCCTAGTGTCTGACTTAAGTGTTCTTGGTCCACATTTTGTGGTGGGAGAAGGTACATTAGATGTAATCCAGAGCTGTGGTTCTCAGAAGTTTTTAAAACTCTTTCTCTCATCCACACCAAACCATCATTGCACACTACAGGTTTGCAAAGGAGTATAAAGTTATTTTTAAAATTTTATTGAAGCATAATTGCATACAGTAAAATGCACAATTTTGGCAAATGTATACACTCATGTAACGAGAACGTACATTTTTTTTTTTTTTTTTTTGAGACAGAGTCTCGCTTTGTTGCCCAGGCTAGAGTGAGTGCCATGGCGTCAGCCTAGCTCACAGCAACCTCAAACTCCTGGGCTGAAGGGATCCTCCTGCCTCAGCCTCCCAAGTAGCTGGGACTACAGGCATTCGCCACCATGCCCGGCTAATTTTTTGTATATATTAGTTGGCCAATTAATTTCTTTCTATTCATAGTAGAGACAGGGTTTTGAACTTGCTCAGGCTGGTTTTGAACTCCTGACCTCGAGCAATCCGCCCGCCTCGGCCTCCCAGAGAGCTAGGATTACAGGCGTGAGCCACCGCGCGCCCGGCGATAACGTACATTTTTATCAAGAGCCCCAGACGTGGAGCAGATGTTCAGGAGCTGTGGGAACCCTGGGATCAGAGTGTTCTGCAGGAGTATGGACGACAAACTGGAGCTGGCTCTTTTCTTTTTTTTTTAATTTTTTATTTTTTCATATTATGGAGGTACAAATATTAGGGTTACATATATTGCCCCTGCCATTCCTCCCCACGTTCCCCCCACCCCCAAGCTGGTTCTTTGAAGAGGACTCCCACTCATGTTGTAGCATGCCAGGGAGATCTTTGGGACTTTTGCTGACTTTGGACTCGTGCCAATCATGGAATATCCTTAACCTTCATTAAGTCTAGAAAATAAAGCTTTTGTTTGTAGTTTGACAGTGCTAACCTAGGAAATGGATTGCTTTTTCTTGACTTTTGGGGGAGTATCAATGTTGGCAGCTGGGGCCCTGTCTGCCCTTTATCAGGCTCAATGTTTCACCTTCAGTTAAGGAATTAAGAAGGGCTGCGGCTGCCCACTGGAAGCTCAGGAAAAAAGTCAGATTCCTGTGGCTTTGCAGCCCATTTTTGAGAGGCAGTATGGGAGAAAATGATTTTTTAACCTCTTGATTTATCAATTTGCTAAATGAAACTAAATATGGCCCCTCATCTTGGATGTATAATAAATATTAAGCATTAAGCAGGCTCTAAAAATAGTCCAGTTATGCAGCTCTGTAAAATGGCACAGTATATTATTTTTGTGGCCATTTATATGAAGCATGCATTTGGATGATATGGTTGTTGTGTGCCCTCTATTTATCTGGGGAGACCATAGGCAAGAAGAGATGTAGGCTATTAAAAATATTTTGTTTAAACACATGTTAAAAGGAGAAAGAGGGAACAAGGTATTAGACTAGGCTGTTGGAGAAGAACTTATCAGGCAGTGAAAAGAATGGCTGTTTTGTTTTTTTTTTTTTTTTTGAGACAGAGTCTCGCTTTCTTGCCTAGGCTAGAGTGAGTGCCGTGGCGTCAGCCTAGCTCACAGCAACCTCAAACTCCTGGGCTCAAGCAATTCTCCTGCCTCAGCCTCCCGAGTAGCTGGGACTACAGGCACGAGCCACCATGCCCGGCTGATTTTTATATTATATATATTAGTTGGCCAATTAATTTCTTTCTATTTTTATGGTAGAGACGGGGTCTCGCTCAGGCTGGTTTTGAACTCCTGACCTTGAGCAATCCGCCCGCCTCCGCCTCCCAGAGTGCTAGGATTACAGGCGTGAGCCACCTCGCCCGGCCAAGAAT